AAAAATAAATATAAGTTTTGCCAAAACTCCGTCAATTTTCATATTATATTTCATATTTATTTTTAACAATTATGAAAGATATTTGGCTTATATAGCTTCATATTCTATGGGTTAAAATAAATTAAAAAGGACAATCTTGTTACAGATTTGTATGCGTCTTATTGTAGATTATATTAAATGATACAATAGTACATTCCAATATTTGGATATTTTTGTGGATATAGATCAAGCATGAATGCTCACTAAATTATAAAGATTGAGAAAGGCCAATGGCTTTGTTTTTGTAGAGTTTTCCAAGTTTATTTTTAATATATTTTTTCTTATAAAATCTATCTTTTTTCATTTTCTCATTTTGCTATTTATAAAAAAATATATTTCAAGCTATAAATTTCATTAAGTACTATTTCTTTAAAAGCAACTATCAATCGGTATGCAGTAGCGAAATGAAATACACATATATATATATATATATAGTGTTCAGAAAATCTGAAGAAGTATGCACTTATATAAATCTAATGTGGTGGGTTATTTTCAGGAATTCTTCGTATATACATTTCTAAAAATATCAACTTTGGCCAAATAAACCCAGACAATTTTATGACAAAGTTATGAACATGGAAAGTAAGTATTTGAAAATAGATGTGAGTCATCTTATGATTCATTTCGGTTATCGGTAATTTTCTTTCTTTGTTTTATTCACTCAGGCATCTTGTGACTTACAGGTCTCTCCATAGTGCAGAAGAGTTTTGCTTATCAAAGTCAAGTTGAACTCATAATTTGATGTCATTTGTTTGGAATTGCTTTCCTTCAAATTGAGTGAGCATAATTTGCTTTTAAATACTTATTTAGATGTTCGAAGAAAATAACATGTACTTTGTCATTTTTGTGCAAATTTGTTCGAACAATCGTGCATTTTGGAGACATAGGTGCGGATATTATCCGGGTTATATACTTCTTCATTATGTTAAAAGTGATACAAATTACTTAGACTTTAGGTAAGGTGAGCACAAATAAATATTGTCTGCCTAAGAATGGTAGTTGCTTGAACCATGTGTTACTGAAAATAATATGCATGTTTTGAAATATTTTTGTGTTGCGGTTTAAGGCATGATGATGTTGAGCATGGTGATGAAAATTCATTTGATAGCATATCACCTGTTTATCCTTTAAAAACAATCAAGACCAACATTATATCTGCATGGGTGTGCAAAAGATGAGCGTACTACATTTCATTATGATTTATAACCTTATTTAATCACAAAAAAGGTAAAACGTGCCGTGATTTAGCGCAAGAAACACACTGACAGTAGCAAAGATTATCTTAAGATCTCAAAGACATTTAAGAAAATCGGCTATAAATTTGTAAGCCGGGGCGTAATTTTTGCAATTTTGCATTATAATTAGGTAATTTTGTTTGGCATGGATGAAGACCAGAAATAAACAAGTCAATTCTAGCTAATTGACAAATAATTTGTCACAACTACCAGATTTTAAGCAACAATTAACGGAAAATGGACTATGAATTAGTTTGTGACACATAATACAATTTATAATGCAAGCTTAATTAATAAAAATCTGGAAACAAAATCATCCCTCGGAAGCATTAATCACAACAAAATTACGAGAGAATTGCAGACTCGGTTTGATTGAGTCTGTAATTGAAGAATAATGAATACGTGCAACATCCCTCACGCCCCCTAGCACAGGCTTGAGCCGTACTCAATTCTCAACATTAATAGTGCTGGCATCAGTGATCCCGAAGGACCAGAAAAAATCAAGTTTAGCACCTAAAACTCGTTGTTTTCTTAAGATGAAAAATACTATTTCGGCGAGTATTTTTGAAGTATATACATATGTTTTCAGTATAACTCAGTGACAGTTATCATAAGAATTCTGACAATTTATTTAACAGTTTCATCTTTCGTGTAATAGTCTTTCCCCCGTGAAAATAGTTCAATCAATCGACAAATCTAAGCCTTCAACAACGTTAAACTTTACTGATTCATCTATAGTGAAATATCCATTGCTAGTGTTATGCCTTGTTAACTTCGATGTTTCAGTGTCTTGAATATTTTCCATTTATATTGTTTGTTTGTTTTTTTTTTTCGTTTTTTGCAGACCGTTTTTTCTATTTGTTGATATATTTACAAATTGTCAAAATGTATAATTTACAGAGATCCAGCTCATTGGATTGTGAGTCATTGCCATGCAGATAGTCTGAGAGTTGTTATATAAATTTACAGATATCATGTAAATAAAAACTTTTTTGATAATCACATAATTAAAACTTACCTGGCGGCCATATTGGACGCCGAAACAGACATTTAAAAAGATAAAGGTTTTCTAATTAAACCTGAAATGATATGTTCTCTACAAAATGCAGCTATATAATTGATCGAATATTGATATAATAACAGTAAACCCTTTTATCTACCTTCATTTTGCAAATTTTAAGCCTTTCATCCCTATTTCAGTCGTACCCTCCTCTTGTCATTTTGCAAGCGCTATTTTTTATTGGTCGATTGGTATCAAACCCACGCTTTTACTCATTGGTTGTTTTGAAAGCACATGATATGTCTTGATTACGTTCGTGAAGCGAAGCACTTAGCCATAGTTATGCAATGTCTAAAATAATACATTATCAAAATTTGGGGAAAATATGTATTATACAGCTTCTTTAAAAAGTTATTTTTCTTAATAAAAAATAATTATTATTTGATGAAAATTCTGAATTCAAAAGATAATTTTTGTGTTCTAAAATCAAACAATTTTTTATTAAAAAATATTCAGTAGCGCGCATACCTTAAACAAGGGTAACAAGCGGTAAATCCATACTTACGAATTTCCAAAATGTAAGCATTTTTCCGTACTTTTTGCAAAAACGGCGTCTTATTTATATATTACAAGATACTATAATGAATGTTGAATGAATAGTATTTCAATTAAAGCAATATTCACTACATAATGAAACAAAGAAAAACAATATTTTAAATTTATGTATGTAACATTTTTTTGAATGTATACTATTTTTGTCGGCAAAAGAGGCAACGTCATGAAATCACTCATCTCTCTGCATATTACATGAAGGTTAAACAATTGACATTTTTAACATAACATTTTCAAGTTATTCAAATTCTGCTTATTAAATATGGTATGTAAGAAAATATTGTTCCATTAAATGTACAAGTAAAGAGTGAACAGCGTACACGGAAAGTTTGTTAATAATTTGAGTATAATTATATAATTGTGACAACTATATTAATACCAGTTGTTTTTGGTAGTCATTCTTTGGTATCAAATCCGTAAGACATGACAAATAAAGTCCTTATCCTAATTCGGATCATAATTAAAACAACTAGCATTCTATAGTAACGTATTCTGATGTCATGGTATAGCTGTTACATAAGCACCCTAATGATTTATGATATTATGGCTCAGTGCCGCTTATATATACAACATATGCACCCTGTTGATTTATTATTCTACAGCCCCGCGGCGCTGATACATTTTTTGTATAAAGTAAGTTTGGTGACAATATCAATTAAAATACGTATTATTATAGAGCACGTCTGCAAAATTTATCTCGATTAAATTTATATATCCTAATAAATTTGCAATTTATTGCGACATACACATTTACACCTTGCATTTTAAATTAAAACGGTAATTATGTTTTACTTCTAGAATTGTAAGTCAATATTTGTTATTTCATTTTTTTCTATTTTTAGTCCGTTGCGAAACTAAAGTTATGCAAGTCATTGTCACATAATTCAGGAACATTTATTTATACAATTCATAAATTATGGTATTTGTTTTAATCAATCAAGAATCAATTTCTCTTTAAAAGCTACAACAGATCCTTCGGAATGCATTTGGTACCGTTCTAAAGCTTGAAAGATAAGAGAATCATTTAAAAAGACAGGCAATATTATTTTAACCTTTGTCACATAAACCACATACTTTAATGATCAATGAAAGTCCGTGAATAAACACTGTACTGTAGTTTTTTTTAAATGACAAAACACCACATCGAAAACTAAAAAATCTTATAACCAGTAATTTAAGTTTGTGTAAGCGTCTTATATATAAAACATTAAGATTTTAATCAAGTAATAGCTTCTTGCCATAACATAAAAGAAAAAGAACATTAAATATTAATTTTGAATTTTGACCAATGTGCATACACTTTTACTGGCAACTTATACTGTAGCAAGCATGAATCTTAAACATGTGTTTTTATATGGAGGCTGTGCATGCAAAATTCCATTTACGTCACATCCGGTAAGGGGAGTAACTCTTACTTTTTTTAAGGATCCCTGCTAGATTCCGTGATCTAAATCCGTCTTTAATCAGTAATGGTTGTGATTAATGCGATAATGGGTCATTGTTACACAATGTTATGTCATAAATGAATCTTACTATTCTACGTTTCTATTCACAAAATCCGAGTTTGAAAGGATAATGGTTTTCATATTTTAGTAATATAATGGATTGCTATAAAAATACCAATATGGTAGTAAAATATGGTTTTCGTGCAACAAAGTTCCCGTATATAACGAGTGTCCAGATAATGGTATATAAGTTATATACAGACTTAATTAATATACAGTACCGTACATCTCCGTGTTTCATGTTTCCCGTGTTTTACTTGTATATATTAACGATATACGGAACTCAGTACACTTCCATGTATCCAAATGTGTTCCCAGCGTCAATAGCCGTTATACCTTGGAAAAGCATCAGAAGGTATATTAAAATGTAAATCTGTGGACAATTTTATCGTGTCCAGTAATAATCTGGTAAGTTTAGCAAGGGTTAACGGATATGTACAGTACAGAACAAACGATATGTTCGTTGAAGGTAAAGACATTTTATACGGTTAAAAGTTGGCCGTAATTATTTTTACATCGATGATTTAAAGTAGTAATAATACAAGCTTAACCAATTCCAAAAAAAAAAAAATTCTATTTTTTCTTAATTTATTGACATTTTATGTTTCTTAATAATAATAATAATAATAATAATAATAATAATAATAATAATAATAATAATAATAAAAATAATAATAATAATAATAATAATTATAATGAAATAATAAAAATAAATAAATAAATCAATAAAAATATATATGTCAAATATCTTTCATTTTCAGACAATATATTTTGGATTAAAACATGTCCCGTTTTCAAGATAATCAGCAATGTCTTTATATGTGCGGATATATTTGTCTTTATTGTTCATATGCTCACAAAGCCTGCATGTTGATACTGCTCGGCTATATCCTGGAGTACCATTAACAATATATTTGTCTTTTGCTTGTAAAAACTTTGTAAATAACTTTACGTCATTACTTACGCTAAGCATATAATTTGCCAATGATTTGACAGAGGAAAAAGATGAAGCATCAATAAATGCATTCTTATCAAAGTGTTTCGAATAGTTTAATCCACCGCGGACAATCAAAATCGTGTCTAAAGAAATGTAATTAAAAAATTTCTCTGAAACATAATCTAAACAAAAGTTATTTTCAAATGATAAGTAAAATTTATAATATTTGTCAATTCTTTCATAGAGAGTTCTCCCTCTTACTCTCGTTCTGTTTTTAGAACACTTTCCGTATATATCAACCTCGATGCCCTCTTTTATTAGAGCTCGGACATATTCATCTCTCAGACTATCTGCATGGCAATGACTCACAATCCAAGCAGCCATTTTAGTTTTACGATTATATACAGAAACGTAATCGCGTTTTATCTGTGTTTTTCTTGTAACTAATAATTGGTGAGGAAGAAATATATCGGAGTCAAGGCGATATCCCATCGTCCAGTTCATCGTATTTTTCCATTCTTTTTCTCTGAACCATCTTGTCCTTACGGCTGCAATAGGTTCTGCTCTATAAATTATCCATATTTGAGATTCTTTGCGTATTTGTTTCAAATATTCACCTTTAAAGGGAAGATTGTCTTGGGCATTGAACACTATTGCCGACATCTCAGATATATTTTTAACAAAATCAGTCAAAATGCAGTTTTTAAAATAACAGCTGCTTTTCAAGTATTGGTTTCCTTCCAGTATATTCATGTGGCGAGGTTTGTTTATGAATAGTATTGAAATTTGTGTTTTATTTTTGGCTGAACAATCCGAACAGCTTTTACTTTCTTGTACATCAACCAGTTTATTATCAGAATTAACTGCTTTTACATACATTCTGCCTCGCTTTCTTGTTTGCATGTAATACGAAGTAGTAAGCAAAACTACAATACCCATCAACAGCGTTCCTATAACCATCCATTTATATAAATTCACCATCGTCGATTATTTTCTGAAATAGAAGGAAGCTTGTTTTGTTAGCTGTTATAATATCACAATTGGTGAATGGATTAAAAATACGGTAGATTATTAAGTACACCAGCAATTTACGTATGTTTAACCTGCTAGTTATATTTCTTTCGTCGTCTTAATAGAACAATATATCTCAGCACAAACTATTAAGCACAGGCTTAATGTTTCAACACACGCTTTTAATACGGGTATGTGTACACACATGCAATGATGAAGATATATTACAGAGCATTGGGGACTACATCAAAAATTGTGTGCCATATTTAAATCCCATAATGCACGTAAAAGTCTTATTGTAAAAAAGCTCTAAAAATGCAATTAACATTCTTTCATTCGTAATGGATATTGAGAAGGAAAAGTGTCTTGATATGTATGTATTACAATGCATCAATAAATGATGACGAAATGGTCCTTATACACATCTACATTTTTTATCTGAAATTGGACCTCTAAGATTGACGTTGATTTTGTCACAGAAACCAGACCTGACTTTTGTGTGCGGTATTCTGCCTAACAATCATTAATACTTGTGCAAGCTATATTGAGATCCCTCTATGCATAGAGAAGTTTTGCTCTTGACAAACCTTTTTCAATAACCTATAAGTGTGACATTGACCCTCATCCTAGAGACCTGGTGCGAAACGGCTTTTCATAAAATTGAACATTTGTTTGGAGTTTCATTAAAAACATCACACACCTGTAATATAAAGTTCCGTACCAAAGAGGACCCTTCAAGCCTGCTCATCCGCTATGGATGTTCCAATAGCAACCTTGCATATAGAAATGATGCTTTCTGTGACGCACAAGATAAACTCATATAAGCATTTTCAATAAGAATAAGAATAACAGTGTAAAATATTTGTTTTATGTTTCATTTTCATAGTTAATTATATAAATTAAATCTCTTTATATTGATTGAATTGTGTGAAAAATATAAAAAATATGTTGAATACTGAAACTGATTTGTTATATCATTTGGATTATGTTGACATTCAAGGACTAAGGAATAAAAACAAACATACAAAATTGTAAATTTCTGAACGTTGATTAATACAAAATACTTTGATACCGTTACAATACATTTTGTACCAAATAATTGTGATGTATGTTCATGGTATATCGAACTTAAGTGCAAAAACCTCCTGTAAGTTAACTCAAGATTTTGCACTAACAAATCATAAAGCTTAAAAGACTGCTGAATTCTTGCATCTATAATACATTAATGACAAAAAGTTATTTTATAACTTCATGCCAGAGACAACTCATTTTTATCTCCAAGAAATGGTCACCTGCGTACGGTAATTGATAAATGCAAAACACAAGTTATGAAAACTTGTTTTTTTTATACAAGATAATGCTTATCTGACTATCTACATAATTTTTCCCGTTAGCTAGTTAGTATGAAATTTAGATTTAGATTAATCTGCAGTTAACAGTAAGTAGATATTGCGAATACTTTAGACACGTGAACTATAAGTACATGATATATAACTTGTAAACGAAAACTGCTATAAATAAACAATAATGTGTAAAATAATAATAAGAAACGCAAGAGATATGTCCGAAACATATAAATGAACTGATGTTTGTGTGTATAATTCAAAAGTATATGATTATAAAGTAAACATAAACAACATTTTATAGATAGACTGATAATTATATATCAATTAACTATAAAAACTTGTTAGACAGATAGGTTTCGCAATTAATGTATGGTTGGCAGAAATATGCAAAAGCTTAAAGGTAAACTTTCCAATTTACGTGCACACTTTAAATGAGATATAAAATTCAAAAATGTTAAATTTATCATTTTTTCGTTTTCAAATATTCATAAGATAAACTTTTCACAAGGAAAAACGTAAGGAATTTGAGAGACAGAACCCTTATAGATAATGCTAAAGTATGCATAATTAGTTAATGAAAAAGAAAGTTAACGGGCGAAAGCTGAGGCTGAGGTCAATTCACAACTGTTACAAACCTTGTTACCAACTAATTGTGTGTTGCCCTTATGACACATAAATTACATTTCATGTGAGCTACTATTTAATTGAAACTTTAAATTTCAACGTTTAGTAAATATTAGACGAAGCAAATCATTGCTTACCAAAATAATTAAAAAATACATAGATAAACATTCATAAAAAGATAGATAAAAAATAAATACATAAATAAATAAATAAATAAATAAATTAATTAATTAATTAATTAATTGATTAATTGATTAATTGATTAATTAATTAATTAAAAACAAAGTTAAAATAATATACAAAAAAATAAATTAAAAAGCATCTGCTATTTCGGTTTTTATTTTGTCATCATAAGAGCATACTTTAAAAATGTAAAACAACAATGAAAGAACAAAGTAAATTAATTATAATTATTAAATCAGATAAACCAAATAAATCGTCAATTACCTAGATGAGTCATACTATGATTGCACCTTCCCGACAAAGTATTCCAAAATGAAAGCACGTAAAATGAATATATGTTCAGTCTGGATAGAAATATATGTCATAAGGGCAAAATCAACGTACGTTTGCGTAAAATTTGTGTGAACAACTGCATTGTATATTATTTTGGATAAACTGTAAATTTAACAGCACAGATATAGGCAAATATCTTGAACGTCGGTTTGCTGTATATAACTTACTTCTGAATGGGAATATATCTTACACATACACTAATGCACTCAACACAATTTGTAATATGCAGTCGACAATTTGTAATATATGAGTTTTAATATAGTGTATAAAACAATAACAACAAAAACATGCATTTATTAGGAAACATATCAATGATACAATGCGACTATATAAAAAAGTGATTTTCTCGTATGTAATAGTATTTTATTTTCAAATTAATTTGATTATCATTAATTATAAAAATAATCTACGCTCGTTTGCTCGTCTGGCAATGATACTTTATCCGTTCAATACTAAAGGTAATTTCAAATTGATGCATTTTCGAGAAAACCCCGCCTTACTTATTTTAAAAGGGCGTCTTTAATTATTATCAGTGTGAATAATGCATATATTTAACAATAATTATTTGAGAAATATTAACTCACCTACATGGTTTATCAAAATAAATGTAAATAAACTTGCTGCACCCGTCCACTTTTACAAAAGAAACAATGCAACGGTAACACTCCAGTTACACAGACGGTCGATCCCCAATCGGTCATTTAATGTTAAATTTACTCGCTGTTATGACCGGTTGTCATGCGTGATTTTATTTCTGGTTTTCTGTGTAAAAGGCCATCGGTGACAGAAAGCACTGATTAATCGGTGTTTGATAGCTAGTCATTAGTTGTTAAACACTTTCTGTTAGATATGGCCGGTCATTCATATTTGGTTATCTTTGTCCGATCGGCGATATGGGTGATTAAGAGCTTGCATATCTCATGATATAGGTTGCTGTAGATTATTTGTCACCGATCGAGAATTTTAAACATGTTTAAAAATCCCAATCGGTATTTTTTCACCGATAAAACTTATCTTTCCCCAATAGCAGCTGATAGGTGGAAAACAGGTGACCAATAGGTGATATGGGTGTCTTCGGTTCAATCAATAATTTGGCTACAAAAACTACCGATCAATCACCGATGGCTCTGTGTTACACCCCATTTACATAATCTTTATAGCCTAAATGCAGCGGATGAATGGTTTAATAAATAGTTACAACTATTACAATTTTGATTCAATTCTAAATCCAAAATCAAAAACGGAAACAAATGCTGTCGCTGAAAAGTAATTAACGCCCAAAATAGAAGCCTTGATATAAAGTTACCGTAAATGCGTTATTGAATTTATCTTTGTGGGTTTCACATATATTTGGCAAAAATCCAAGATACTATGCATAACTAGGCATGCCGACAAATAATCCTGTAAAGTTTCACCGAAATTCCCCCCGGGGACATAAAAATGTTTTGAGTTTTTGCATTTTAATTACGTTACATACAAATTGTTAATTATGACAAGGTCATTTAATCAGTGACCTCACAGTGTTGTATTTCCATGTTACAAAACAAAAACGCCTCAAATGTTGTAGTAAAAATAAATTATTAACATACTAAAAAATGAAATCAATGGGTTGGACACACTGGGATTTGTGGTGGTAAGTAAGGAAAGTATAAGGTTTTTTTTCAGACGTATCATTTCCGAAGTCACACAATACAACACATTATATATTCCGGTGAGACGCTATTCTTGTTCATGTTGTTGTATGATTCTTTTCATTATCTTTTAATGACTTTTATTTATTTTAGATTTTTGTTGTATTTCAAGATATTCGAAATGTAATTGTCATGTTAGTATGATTATTTATCTCAAATAAAAAATTAAGCACGTTGCTATTCATTTTCATATAGCTATTCAGAAAGCAAGTAAGTTGAGGATTAACAATTATACATAAATGAAAAAGCAATGTGTCCATCACTTTTAAAGCATATAAGCAGACATGACAACCTAAGAGAAAATACAATGACTTATTAGACAAATAAAAAAATATAAGATGGAATTTCCTATATGTTTGCCCATTATTACAATAATTACAATAACATTTTTTGACAGAGTAAAAAAATTTGTAAAAAAATTATGTCTGAAAAAAACTAAAGTTTTTCTTTGCCCCATATCAAAGACGTGTTGACCTCTTTTAATGTAATGAAATGTTCATCTGATGAAATATCAGAAAAGAAATAACTTAAAAAAAAACATTGCTTTACCTTTGAAGTCTGAAATATACTTTAACTTGAGGCCATTTTTGTCTATGCCAGCTTTACTGAAACACTTATCCTCATATTATTGCAGTCTTTTTGTTCTCTGAAAACATTATATATGGATATTTATCTGCTTTTCATATTAGGCAGACCGTCCTCTAGAATAAGCAATAGGCAGACATATACAAATTTTGACAAACTTTAATATATATCTTAGCCGTTTTTGCCAAATGCATACATTATAAACATATGCACAAACATGTGGTATCTTCAAGATATATCAACAAATAAAGGATACGCTTCAGGTATTGTCTGCCTATTTTTACATATACGTCATAGACCTTGGGCAGACATTGCATATTATCATCATTATGCAAACATTTCATATATATCCTAATCATTGGGCAGACTTTTTACATTGTTACAACAAAGTGCTTAATTATCAAATATTTTAAATGTCTTCCGCAAACCAGTGTCATAGGATATGACAATGACGAGGGAGGGGGCTATGCCCCTCGTGTTTTGATGCTCTTTATATAACTTAGACATATTGACAACAAATATTATGCCCCTAGACCATTCTTCATCAAGTGTATATTTTTTTCAACAACTAATTTGACTCCGTGATCAGTTATCAGGCTTCATCTGTAATGAACCTGCAAATTATGTATAGATAACAGACATGGAGGAATAACAAAACAGAACTGAGATATTTTCCTCATTTGTATTGAAATGCAAAGTTGTAGAGAAAAAGAAGTAACTCTATCCATTTCATCTAGGGTAAAAATAAATTCCATTGAAGAAAAACAAAAGCAGACAATCATAATATTTATTGCTATGTCAGGTTGTACAAAATAAGAAGTAATTCTAACCATCTCATTTTGGGTAAAATAAATTATTCAGCTATTCAACATTATGGTCTTGTCACAAGTGTTTTTTGTTCAAGTATGATTTTTATCTGTAAATGGCTAACAAAGTTATCTTAGAAAAAAACTTAATTCATCATAAGTATTGTTTTGTTCAATTATGAATCAAATCTACATAGTTATCTATAATTATGCAAAATTCAATAATTTAACCTTGGTGGACCTGGTCATTTCAATGTCAATATCAGAATTCTTATACATGTATATGTGTTGTTTGTAATCCGTTAATAAACAACAAAGTTATCTTAGATCAAGCTAAAATAATCAATTTACCTCGATAGTCAAGGTCATATCAGAACTATACAACACGTAGGTCCTGTCAAAAGTAATGTTTTGTCCCAGTAATAAACAAATCCACAAAATTCAATACTTTTACCATAGCATTCAAGGTTATTTCAAGCTCAATATCACATTGGAAGATATATGTCCTGCCTTGACAAAGAATCGATTTATCTAAAATTAGAAAGGAAAAATGCATGTATGGCAAACAGGTTTGAACTGGACCAGATGGGGAATTAATCTCTTGATGCAATCTGAGAAATGACATAATGTTCAACATTTAATATTTATGCTTTATATTATAATACTTTAAATATAGAAAACAAATATAAGGAAAAGCTGATGAAGTAACTACTAATGATGAATTAACATAAATAAAAATCAATCAACCTAACAGTTCAAAAATTTAAATTTGTGAGACAGCGTGCCTGAAGAGTCACAAACGCACTACAATGTATGTAGACATTAGTTAAGAAAATAAATCGCAAATAAATAAATAAAAATCAACTCAAATTTTGTTGTACATTGAAAGTCATTTTAAACACTAACAAAATAATTGATGTTATGCTTGTAATGTCTCAAACTTCTTAACATTGCATCAATTTTCTTAAACATCTGAGAGCATCTTTAGTATCAGGTCATCTTCTAGATGAGCTTGCAAGTACTTCTTAATTATGTACTTGTGTTAATTTGCAAAATTTTTTTCAAACATTGACTTGATTAAGTGTTAGACAACAAACCTATGATAGCACACATGTTATGTTGTTTTTTTTTGCATTATTAAACTTGACCATGACCCATATGACCTCTGACTAAGTCTGTATATACTAAACATCAAGACCATCAATTCAAAAATAAAGTCTGTGTGAGCAAAAATGTACAAGATTATTTTTGGCATCAGTTACCTTGACCCCAGTGACCTCTAACTCCACAAAAACTTTGATGTCTATTAAGGTACTTTGTATTAGTAAGTGTGAAAATTATCAAGACATTAGTACAGATAGAGCTTAATGTATATCCAACTTGCGGGTTAAGGCATTGTTAGGTAATTTGCAATTACTTTGTATTGATAAATAAGATACATTTATGAAACCATTGATAAAGGTAGAATTTAAGAAAAATCCAAAAGACAGACTAGCGGATGGTTCAATTACTATATGCCTAGGGGCATATAAAGTTATTGAATGGGCAAAAAACAATCAGAAGGACAGACAAGCAATTTAAAAGCTATATGCCTCCATTTGGTCCCTGGAAAAAATCTTATTATAAAATAATTCCAAAAACGTTCAACTTTTCAATTTCTTAAATTTCCTTGCAACATTTTTTTTCTTTTGTTCTGTTCATTCATTTCATTCATTCTCTCGATGTAACAAAGCACATTCTAGTTGATTTTCCTTCAGATAGTCTTCTAATTCATTCTTTCCTGAAATTGAAAATGAAAAAGTACAAACTAGAAATGTGTCCATAGGACACGGGTGCCCCCCACGGCGCCACTGTTCTGTCAATCTTATGAATCTAGGTCAAATATTTTTTGAAAACTAAAGATATTTTACTAAGTTAAGGGCAAGAACTTTACAAATACTGAATAAATCCACAAGCAAACCCCAAGGTGCATAAGTACACATGCTGACCAACATTCTTTTAAACTTTAAGGCCTACAAGTGAAATACTTTTTGAGCTATACATGAACAAGTTGAAAATTGCAAATTTATACTACTATAGTCAAGGGCAATAACTCTTAAAAAACTGAAAAAAAAATTCACATGCAAAGTGTCCGGTTCATAGCTTCACAGTGATGTGAATCATTATTCCTGTAATTGAGTGATGTTGATCATTATTCCTGTAAAGTTGGTTGATTCTAGCTAAAGCACTCAATGAACAAATAACAACATAATGAAACGGGTTTTACTAAGTCAAGGAAAATTACTCTACAAATACTGGATAAATCCATAAGCAAAACTCCATGTGCAAAACTAAATATGCTAAGCAACCTTCCCGTAAGGTTTAATGACTCTATGTCAAAACACTATATAAATCCAGACAAAAATACCCAGGTGCACAACTACACATGCTGATCAACATGCCTGTAAAGTTTCATGACTCTCGGTCAAATACCTTTTGAGTTACATGCGACACATGTTGAAAATTGCAAAATTTTACTAAGTCAAGGGCAAAAACTCTAAAAGTACTAAAAATATCTAGACGAAAATACCCAGGTGCACAACTACACATGCTGATCAACATTCCTGTAAAGTTTCATAACTCTCGGTCAAATACTTTTTGAGTTACGTGCGACACAAAAGAGAACGGACGGACTGACGGAAGGACGGACGGATGGATGGACGGACGAATGGACGGACAGTCGGGCAAGGGTAAATCTTAATGCCCGCCACTAAAGTGGGGGCACACAAATTGGTCAAAGACAGAAAAAGCCGTGTTGCAAAAGTATGCAAAAACTCATGAGGCTCTGGTGTTACTTAAATTTTCTACCACTGACCATTGATGATATTGAAAATTTAACTAAGTCAGTAAACCGGAAGTGGATGAGCAACAGACCTGAAATGGAATCCCACAATATGAGATAACATGTCAATGCTGTGAACCAAATATCATAAGGCTTTGGTAAGTAGTTGCTGAGAAAACTGTTACGAAATTTTCCTACTATTGATCATTATTTATGTCGAAAATTAACTAAGTTGGCAAACAGGAAGTGGATGAAAACTGAAATCAAATCCTATGATATTTGACCATGTGTAATTGCTGTATATCAAATATAAAAGGTTATAATAAGTAATTGCTGAGAAAACTGTTACGAACATTTCCTACCATTGACCATTACTGTCAAAAAATATTTATTTAAGTCGGCAAACAGGAAGTGGATGAGCGACAGACCTGAAATGAAATCCCACAGTATGGGACCATGTGATAATTTAAACCAATGCGGGTTCAAATCAAAGTAGTGACTTTTTATTTCTTTCATATGAGTTAGAGATATCCAGCTAGTTTAGAGGTTTGTTGTTCTACTCTAGTTCCCAGTTGTGTCTGAAATTATATATGAATGAGACCTGACATGTTCTTCCACCAATAAAGCTTGATATTCACTGCATGACATTTTCAGTGTTGTTGTAACTTAAAATACCAACTAAGCATCTCATAACAAAATTCAGTCAGTTTTTTTTAATGATGGTGCAAATTAAAAACCTCTTTTCTCACCCGATCCTATCA